AGTTGTGCTTTTAAAGTTGTAGCAACGTTTCGGCAGAATCTCATCTGCCATCATCACAGACGGACACAACCAGAAGCCTGATGATGGCAGATGAGATTCTGCCGAAACATTGCTACAACTTTAAAAGCACAACTACAATGATGTGGGAAAATACCCGAACAAAGCTGAATGCCATACATGTAAGTACCCACGAAAACTTAAGAAATATTTATATATATAAAATGAAGATACTATTATCCATATGAAATTTGATTTTGCACCCTGACAAAGGTACTGATGATTTAACATATCTTCTTCATTTTATTGATTTCTATTGAGCTTTTTGCTCATAGTGGCATATATAGTTTCCTTCTATTTTCCCCCCCACAACTTTGTTGTGGCTGAAGAAAAACTATTGAACCTAAGTCATCCTGTAAGCTTCTAGACCAGGTATGTCCATGCAATCCAAACCAGAATTGTCCTATAGTTATTTCTTTCTTTATTTTTAATCCCACCTTTATTGTTTTTATACATAACTCAAGGCAGCAAACATACCTAATATTTCTTCCTCTTATTTTCTACACAACAACAACATTGTGAGGTGAGTTGGCTGAGAGAGACTAACTGGTCCAAAGTCACCCAACCAGCTTTCATGCCTCAGGCAGGAGTAGTACTCACACTGGTTTCTATCCTGGTGCCTTAATCACTACAGCAAACTGACTCTCAATTTGTTTTAAATGTAAAACTAGTTCTGTCAGTTGTGGCTTCCTGTTTGTTTTTCCAAATTATAAAAAGCAAGATTGGTATGATAGTACTTCCATTTTGAAGGTTTCATTAAGCAATATTTAATGCCATTGTTTAAAAATTGGGAAGAGGAAGAGGAGGAGGAGGAGGAGGAGGAGGAGGAGGAGGAGGAGGAGGAGGAGGAGGAAGAAGAAGAAGAAGAAGAAGAAGAAGAAGAAGAAGAAGAAGAAGAAGAAGAAGAAGAAGAAGAAGAAGAAGAAGAAGAAGAAGAAGAAGAAGAAGAAGAAGAAGAAGAAGAATTATATATCCAGGATCTTTGCTATTATTGTTCTTTTATTTATGAAACCCTCTTGGTGCTGAAACATTGGTTTAATTATGTTCTAACAAGGAATATTTAGCAAGTGCCTTCCAATCAAAGCATCACAACTGACTCAGGAAATAAATAATACCAGTTTCACGTCACCACATATCTGGAACGCAACCAAGAGATCCCCTTGTATGGATTGCATCACTGTGTTTCCCACATCAGCAAAAGAAATCTTGTGGCCACAGGTTATCTTTTTTATTTTTTTATTTTGCTGTTAGAAGTCCTTGTGTTTATTTGGAAAAATTGTCCTTAATGAGACAGGCTTGCCAAGTAAACATTCACAAGGCCTCCTCTGCTCTTGCAACAGAGTAATTAGGTCGGTGCCTTGTTCTGTGCTAGCATTAACCACTCCAAAAAGCCAATCCTGACTAGTAGTTAATGCTTAGACACAACTGGCTGCATCTCCTGCTAATTGGTCTTGATGAAGCTGTAACATTCCCAAAGGTCATCTTTATTCTAGCAGGTTGAGAGATGGGATTGACATCCATTTCGAGGGACTGTTTGGTTTCTTTGTTGTCATTCATTACTGAAGAGGGTGGAATTAGCTCTTGGAAAAATACCTACAATGCGCCACAGTGAAATGTCATCCAAAATAAATAAATTAAAAAAATATTTCTCTGCCAAACTTCTTTTGAAATTACAGACAAAGGCAGCAAGAGAGCAGTTCTGAGAAGCAAACCCAGGAAATTTCACTCACACGCAATATTTCTGGCTCCAGTTTTCTTTTCCTATAACCATGGACTTCTTTTCTAACAATCTAGTTACATAGTCTACCATGGAGCTGTATGAAAATGGGATTGAATTTCTCTCTCACCCAGTTTTCCTCTGTAGGGAAGATAGGATGTTGAGTTTCCACCACTAGCTCTGTTGAACTGAAAGCAGCAGTTCAAGTTATCCGTATTTTCTTTGACTTCCCTGCTTCACTCCACTGGGGATTGTCCAGTGAAAAGGATGAATGCATAATTGATTTATTGATTTTATTGCACCAAGATGAGCTGTGGTTACATAGTTTTAAATTACATTGGGACACATTTAGCTTATACTGACAGCTTCTGGTGAATTCCTCATACATCTAAATATCATCATATCTAGAATTCCATAAGCCAATTACACATCATTGAAGTCACACTATCATTTATTTGTCTCAGGACTAATTCAGTTCAGATCAAAACCCACTGAATCTTACCTATTAGCAAACAGATTTGGCTGCCTAAATCAGTGTTTTTCAATCTTGCCAACTTGAAGACGTGTGGACTTTAACTTCCAGAATTCCCCAGCCAGTTAGTTGAGGAATTCTGGAGATTAAAGTCCACATGCCTTCAAGTTGCCAAGGTTGGGAACTTCTGGCCTAGATCGTTGTCATTACCCTATTAGATGAAAGTTGCTTTGTAAATATAGTTCAAAATGCAGTTTTATTTAATACTCTAAGGAATCCCTCTTTAATATTATATTCAGTAGCAAGACCATGATTGGCTTGCTTATGCAGGCAAAGTGAAAAATGAAGTGTCA